TATAATCGGAGCATTTCTAATAATTTTGCAATAATTGGAAATTCGAAAATATATTTTTGTTTTTAACTTTAAATTGCGTAAATTGCAGTATTAATTGCGACTGAATTAAATTTTTAAGTTAAATTGTAAGTAAAATTGGGGTGAGGTAATTTTCATACCGTTTGAGTATATACTGAATTCTTACAATTTTTAGTTAGAAAATATCACAAGAAATTCCTTGTGCACGTATTTTGCAATCACATCTACTGAAATTTATTTAATAACGACTTGCAAAATTTTCCTTTAAAATTTAGTAGTGACATTTATATCAAATTTCTTGCGTACAATCGGAGTTACAGTGACCGCGTATTATGATTTAATGTGGTCGTCGTAATCGCCGAATGCCGGAAAATGTCCTATAACACCCGGTCAAGACTCACCCTTCTGATAACCTTCAGTACCGTATGAGGCCTGCAAAACTGTATTCCGCTACCGTGAGAGCAAGACTCCCAGTACTTCCTTTCTCCTACAGGCAAAAGCATCACACTCTCTCAGAAAATTTAATAGTCTCAGCCCCCACTTTCCATGCCCAGTCTATTGAGTTGCCTTCTAAATCTGCTGTACCCTGACAAGATCATGATGAAAGTATTTTTTGTTGTGCCCCTAGAGGTATGCAATGGGAAATCATCAATGTATATCAGAGCAACTATATTTTCACTTAAGGGAAATGTACTACTTTATAAACAATTAATTTGCCCCTACTTTATTATGCTTTAGTTTGATATTTATAAATTTTCATATTAAAATTTATTCATTTCCTCTTATATACATGGTAGATACTGTTACGAGTATTTATATTATTATTTCAATATAATATTACGTGACATTAAGATAATTAATAAAATTGCAGTATTTTAATGTTTTAAGAGAAATTGAAAAAGGACTACTCGTTTGTAAACAAACTATATGAAAAAGACCAATGGAAATTCAATATATTAAATTTTTAATGAAACTGAAATGATAAAATTCTCTAATATGTTCTATTTTTGTATTTGTAGTCTTCATTCTGAATTTTTATAAATTCTTATCTATTAGTGTTATACACATTATTCCACATAGATTCCATTATCATTTCAAAAAATATAGCAATAACCCGCAGAGGACTTGAATAACTCTTATAATAATATGAACTATTATGCACGCAAGAAAAGATTCATCATCATTCCTCATAATGGTATATACGAGTGTATAACTTGTTTATATAGAGAAGAGACTTTTGCAACTATTTAAGTATTATGTTGAAAATTTTCTAGTATAATCTTTAAAATTGAACTCATATGATGAAAATTTATGTTTCTATAGGGCATTTGAGATTTTCTTCTATCGGGTTTTCATTCTAGAATTTTTTTTTTCAGTATTCTCTCTAGTATTTATCTAGGTTAAATGTATATCGCATAAGGTAAATTTTATATCACAAATACATGTATTTAGTTTAAATATAAAAAAATCAACAAAAGTGTACTTATATACATTATTTATATTGCGATCCTTATGGGTTATTAATGGCCATTATTTTTTTTTGTAATAGAGTGGAAATATAAATTTCAATATAAAATTCTTTATATAGATCAGTAATGTAAATTTATACAACAACATATGAGCTCATATCACATAATATTATTTTTAGAATATCAACATTAAAAATTAATCTCAAAGGTATATACGGACAGGTAGATATAATAAAAATAAAAAGTACTATGCAGACAGGTTAAAGCTTTAATACTTATATTTTGTATATATACCGCGTTCAGAAAAGTTGATGTCCTATTCTCTGTGAAAATACAAAAACTAAAGATATTAAAATTTAAAATAAATATTTGAATGTGTAAGTGAGAACATTACAAGTCCTATATTAAATTAGTTTGGCTATAATTGAGAAAGCTTTAAAAAAATACAGTGAATGAATTAATTAAGATGATTTAAGTAAATAACTGACACTTGTCGGATTTTAGGGGTTGAAAATGTAAAGGGTATTTTATTGAAAACTATTTACTTGTTATGTAAGATAATTTTTAATTGCATAAATTAAGGAGAAATATTACAAATGTCGGACACAGCTGGGTTCCGCAGTACAGTAATGTCAGAGGAAATTAAACAACCATTGTCGGCATTACGACAATGGACATTTTGTTGCCTCCACCCTTGGGTGAGTTGAAAAATATTGTATAGATAAGTAAACTAAAAGTAGGATAAAATTACTTTAAAATAGTATGCTAAATTGTGCTACGACAAAGGGTCTGTGGCCGAAGAGGAACGGAAAGAAGAACGAGGGGTCTTCTGGCATTATGCGAAGAGACTAGGTGTTTCCTTATCGGATGTTTTAGAGGGACGTCGAGATATTAGGGTATGCGAAGGGTAAGACGGTTTTGAAGGGGCAGATATCAGATCGATGGATTGGAGAATCTCTCGGAGGTACCCGTGAATGAACTGCTGAACTATGCCATTTATTAGGAATACATAATTAAAGCTTTAGAAGCAAATCGATCCTGAGTAGCTACAAAATTAATTTTAAATTTTATCAGAAATTAAATTTTAATTTAAATGAAAAATGTGTTTCACCTCAAAAAATGAAAAGTAATGAAAAACTTAATACTTTTCAATTTAATACTTTCACTTATCAAGTGTTTCTCTTATGATCGCAGTGCGACTGAATTCGAGTGGTACAGTTGTTCTATAATAAAGGAATTCCTTATTTTAAGACGTGTGTAGTATAAGCCACGAACCAGCTGATTTGTTTGAGATCGTCGAACTATTATAACGGAACTATTATAACGTAGGGCGTATACAATTGGAATGTGCTAGCCGAAATCCCCTTCTTATACATCTCGTATGCAAGACATATGGCATGATTGCATAGTTTAGTGTTTTATTGATATTTTTTTGTACTTATTATTATACTCTTAAATGCCCATATTTCCGAAAAAAATACCAAAAATGAAAATAATGAAAGAATAAATGATTTTTCAAAATTTAAAATTAGCTTCCATTTAGAGCAAAAGTATTCTATATTTGAAATTATAGCGTAAAACATTACGGGCTAACAAAATTTAACAAATGAACAATGATGGGAAAAGGATGAAGAATTTGAATTTTAAAACCTTTCAAAAATCATTTTGATTTCATTTTGATTTTTATTCTTTTTTTAATTTTATATTTTAAGGATTTTTGGTTAAAATATGGTTTTTGGAACTTTTGGTTTTCATTCAAAAGAGGATTATAAAAAAAATGTAAAAAACTTTCTAAATTCAAAAAAGACTTGTTTAATTGATGGCAATTATTATTAGTTTTGTAAAAAAGCAATTAGGTATGATAGAATTGAAATTATTTATAATAAAATATAATTAATTTTTTAAAGAGGATTAAAATTTAAAAATGAAATTTTTAATATTCTAGTGGGTGGGCTGTACTCAAAGTATATTAGTCTTTTTACAGAAGCAAAGATTTCCAATGTGTGGAAACTTAAAATACTGGGTATTTAATAATAAATTTCAAAAATTTTTGAAAATTTAATAATTTCAATTAAAACTTATTATAAAACTTTTCGGACTTTAATAAATTTTGTGAATCGCATAAATTGGACGATTTTATTGATGAGAAAATGTCTAAAATTTTACAGATTAATTAATTAAATAATTAAATTTTATAATTTAATTAAAATGGAATTTTTTATTTTCATTTAATTGGATAAGTTTCCAATTTATTTATTTAATTAATTCCATTAAAAAACTGGAATTTTTTTAATGAAATTTTATTGGTATTTTTTTTGGAATATTTGGTGCGGATATTAAAGCAATTAATTATTTTGTATGTTGAGAAGGATTAACTGAAAAAATTAATCAAAATTATCGTTATATGGGACAAGAAATTTTTGTTCTATTGGAAAACCTTTAACTATTGCTTAATAAACTAAAATAAATCAGAAAAAAGGTTGATTGCACAACTTTCATAAAATATTTGAAATAATTTTAATGTTAAGTACTTACACATATTTCTCTTTCGAGGCAAATCTTATTGGTTATGAAAAATTTTTTATGGAAATAATTAGACGAATTGTTATATTTCAAGAGTTGCCCAATTGTAACCAATGGTAGGTCATGTACAATAAATATAGTGTTTTAAGCTTCAATTGACAATTAATGATAGCTTAAGTGGTAGCTCATACAAAATTCAATATTTTAAGTTTTACCCTTTAATTGACCCTGATAAGTACAATGGTTTATTAGATATAAATGTTTTGAAACAATTATATTCAAAATTCTATCTTTGAAGGATTTCCTTAATGACATCATCGCCACAACACTAGTAGAACAAAAGTTCTTGTTGTTTATAGACTTTATGACGTAATCGCAACAGATCATAGACCATTAAGTAACAAAATACGATTTGATCATTTTGGAATACAGGGCTCGCAGAATACTCTTGATGTGCATCAATAGTTCAGGCTTACGCTTTGAACCTTATAGCTTAACGACGTATATATACTACAATATTCGTGCAACATTAACGCGTATTTAGTATAAACTTTCGAAAACGTTGTATTTCTTATGTGTACTGTTATGCGTCTTACTTATTTCTAATCTTAATGTGTGTTATTTATTCCTAATCCCAATTACAGTATTCTCCTATAGATTAAAAAATTTTAAGAATTTTTACAAAATTAAATATACTTATTCTGAATTATTTTTAAGTATTACGTGTACCATACATTAACGCATAATGTTGTATCTTCTCTCTATACATACTACAGCAACGCAGCATAAGACAAACAATGAAAAATCTTTGTGTCGAAAAGCATGGCATTTTGATAATTTTCTTAAGTAAAATTTTAAATGAAATTTTCTTGAATTAAATAAATTTCATATAGAATAATACTTATAGTCATATTTAAACATATAAACTTAATAATGTACGAGTAAGAAGAAAAAAAATAACTAATTTTGAAAATTTATTTCACATTTCAGGTAAAATATTCAAGGATATAAATTTTATAATGCTCATGTATTAATTTTAATGAAATCTCAGTGAGACATTAAAAACACACGCAACACAAACAAAACTATACCAAAAAAAAAAACAAACAAAATAAAATGGAATGAGAAGAGAAAAAAACTTATTAACAGGTAAAATAAATTATTAGAGACATTTTATATATAAAAAAAAATAAAATAACTAAATCAGTCAGCCTCACCTCAGCACAGCAGAAAAATAGAATAAGGAAGAGAAAGAGAATTTTTTTTTCTGTTATTACTTTCTCACTTCTCTAAAATTTCTGTAAATTACTTTGAAGACATCTACTATACTATGAAAAATGAGTGTAAGTTTCAAATTGAAAATGAAGTATTTGAGTGTTGTTGTTAGTAATTTGTACATGTTAACTATAGAACGCCTAAATATATGCATTATATAAATCTTAAATAAAATATATTATTTCTCCATCTTATTTATTATACTTGAGAAAACTAAGTGAGAAAAAAAAATGTGTGTAGGTAGAATAATTTGTGTGCGTATTAAAATTCTTTTCAAAGTTATAAATTTTTGATTTTATTTATTTGCGTATACATACATGTATATATATATATATATATATATATATATACATGTACATGTAGTTATAGGTTGAATAACGTAATAAAATGTTTAAATAAAAGTTAACAAATCGGTTTACTCATTTTCTTCACAGTATAAGTAGAAGTTATTTAAAATTTTGTGGTGAAATTGAGAGAGACAATTGAGATTTTCATATAATTTACGAGTACAACAAGAATATTAAATTCGTTCTCTTCACTTATGAGAATTCTTCTCATAGACAGAATTGTGAGAGAACTTGTTTTGGAAAATTATCAAATGAAATAAAGGTGTAGGGGCAGTTTTAATATCATTAAGTATGAGATGCAAATTCCAAATTATTTGGATGAATTCTAGGATAATTCAAATGCGAAAGTGATAGATGGTTTAATCCTACTTTAATTGTTACCGTACTTCGACTAGTTTCTCAAATGAAGTGATAAAACAGGGGTGTATAGTTTCCAAATTGAATAGCTAAATTGAAGCGAAATTCCGAAATTAAGCCGAATTGTACATTTCATTTCAATTTTTTCTTTTAGTCTCAAGAATTCTTCAAGTTTCAAGAATTAAAAAAAAAATTTAAGATTTTAATGTACTTTTAAAATTTAAGACCTCTAAAATTTAAGACTCTAAAATTTTTTCAATTCTTTCTCACATTGAATGCGGAATTTTAGAAGTAAAAAATGAAAATGTTTGCTGTGTTCAGGTGTTTTCAGTTCTTTTGTTCCTTTTGTGTACGTGTTGGAATTGCAATGGAATGTAATTAGAGGCAAAAACAATTGGAAAAGCAAAAAGAAAATTTATGCAAAATGTTAGAAATTTAAAAGCTTTATAAACAACAAAGAAAGCAGAGTAAAAAAAAACGTGACCATTACAAGTATAATAGAAAAATAAAAAAGGAAACCCATTTGTTTTTTATTCCCTTTTTTCTGATTTTTATGCCCGTACGAACGTATGTTCGAAGGGTATACTAAATTTGCTTTACCGTTTGTAACGCTAAGAAATAACGTTCTTAGATATAGACTCAAGTGTATGTTTTTGATCAGCGTCAAATTCTGAGTTGATTTAGCTATGTCTGACCGTCCGTGCATCCGCCCCAACGATAACTCAAAAACTAATTGATTTTCAGGGTACCGGTTCGGGTAGCTGCCATACAATTTATTTGGCTATATGTCAGAAACTATAAAAGCTGTGGTATTGAAATTTCACACAAACGAATATATTAGTAGGGCCAATGTGTTTGATAAAATTCGTTAAAATTTCTTGGCTCTTTTTTTGTAGCTGCCATACAACTTAAATAGTAGTTTGGCACAGCCAGTATTTTGAAAAACACACAGTACTGAAATTTTGCAAAAATTAAAATGGTAACACGGCAACTTAAAGTCATAGTCTGTCCCATAGTCAGTTATGGCATTTTTATTCGCACATAGGATAACAAATTCGTACGAGTATCACAGAGTTGACAAGGTCAACTCTATTTTTTCTCGTTTTTATTTTAAATGATCTAAACAGGGATGTCCTGATTTGCAGTTATTACGTAAAGGGAAGAATAGAGAAACAAAAAGGATAATCTATTCTTCATGTCCTTTATTTTATAGTGTGCCTTCTATTCAGTCGTCTCAATATTTTCTTCTTTTATTCTTTCTCGGTTACAAACCGGTTTCATTATCAATCTTAAAGGATAATAAAGGAAAAGGAGGAAAAAATAACTGAGTTTCTTTCTTTTTTCCTTCCAATTTATTATTGATTTTTTTTGTTTTCTTTTGCATATCCTTCTTTGCATTAAAATTAAAAAGAAAATCCTTTTATCTTTTTCCCTTATACTTCTTTAATTATCAGTTTTAGTTTTACTTATCTTATCTTATTTGACGTTTCTTTTTTTATTCCCTATATTTTCTCGACATTTTACTTTTGTTTATGAGGTTATGATTTTGTAAACGGAAAATTTATGCTGCAAAAAAAAATTGTTCGTGCTTTAATGCGTTTAAGAAAAAGGAAATTTTTCCTGAAAGAAGAATAGACGATTTATTCAACTATTCGCATAAGAACAATTGATAAGAACAATAAATTACTAAATTAATGAAAAATACTTACAACTCTTAAAACTTCTCTATATTCCACCATTACATTGCCCTATTTATACATTCCAAAAGAACCTCACAATAATATTAAAAAAAATTATTACAACCATTTAATTCGCTCATTTTACAGAGAGGAAATTTGTACAATTCTGTAAAGTACTCTCTTGAGTACTTGTATACTGTGTTATAATGAACATAGAGTAATTACCATTGCAAAGGTATATTTGATTGATTAAAATCACAATTATACACCATAATTTCTTTATATAAATACGCACTTAACCTCATTTCTCAAACCAATATTTTTAAGTTAAAAAACTAATAATAATAAATGTTTTCCTTAAAAAAATAAGTTAGTTATAAAATTTATTACTGTTTTTTAAGTCCATTTCGTTGATAAAAATCTAAAAATTTCTTTTACTCTTCCTGTGTTGAGAAAAAAATGAGAAACTAAATTGCAAAAATGAGTGGTCTAATGAGAATCGCTCTTAAATGGTGAATAAGAATTGCTATAATGTGAGAATTAAAATTGGCTCTAATATGGTATCGGAAATTTGCTTTAACGTGGTGACTGATTCTAGATATTGAGTTGAAGCTCTTGCTCCTTATTATACAAATATCTTTCTTCTGTCCTTCCACCTCTATCTCTTCTAGTTTAGCCAGAAAACGCGTTTAAAATTTTGCAAAAGATTTTTTTAAATATCTCCAAAAATATTTTTGCTACAGCCTATTATCATATACTCGCAGAATCTGTGAACTCCCAGTGATCGCGAAAAACACTTAAAACTGCTCTATCTCTTCTAGTTTAGCCAGAAAACACGTTTAAAGTTTCGCAAAAGATTTTTTTAAATATCTTCAAAAATATTTTTACTACAGCCTATTATCATATATTGGCAGAATCTGTGAACTTCCAGTGATCACAAAAAACACTTAAAATCGCTGTATCTCTTCTAGTTTAGCCAGAAAACGCGTTTAAAGTTTTGCAAAAGATTTTTTTAAATATCTCCAAAAATATTTTTGCTACAGCCTATTATCATATTCTCGCAGAATCTGTGAACTCCCAGTGATCACAAAAAACACTTAAAATCGCTCTATCTCTTATAGTTTAGCCAGAAAACGCGTTTAAAGTTTTGCAAAAGATTTTTTTAAATATCTCCAAAAATATTTTTGCTATGGCCTATTATCATATATTCGCAGAATCTGTGAACTCCCACTGATCACGAAAAACGCTTAAAATCGCTCTATCTCTTATAGTTTAGTCAGAAACCGCGTTTAAAGTTTTGCAAAAGATTTTTTTAAATATCTCCAAAAATATTTTTGCTACAACCTATTATCATATATTGGCAGAATCTGTGAACTCCCGGTGATCACAAAAAACACTTAAAATCGCTCTATCTCTTCTAGTTTAGCCAGAAAACGCGTTTAAAGTTTTGCAAAAGATTTTTTTAAATATCTCCAAAAATATTTTTGCTACAACCTATTATCATATATTGGCAGAATCTGTGAACTCCCAGTGATCACAAAAAACGCTTAAAATCGCTCTATCTCTTCTAGTTTAGCCAGAAAACGCGTTTAAAGTTTTGCAAAAGATTTTTTTAAATATCTCCAAAAATATTTTTGCTACAACCTATTATCATATATTGGCAGAATCTGTGAACTCCCAGTGATCACAAAAAACGCTTAAAATCGCTCTATCTCTTCTAGTTTAGCCAGAAAACGCGTTTAAAGTTTTGCAAAAGATTTTTTTAAATATCTCCAAAAATATTTTTGCTACAACCTTTTATCATATATTCGCAGAATCTGTGAACTCCGACTGATCACGAAAAACGCTTAAAATCGCTCTATCTCTTATAGTTTAGTCAGAAACCGCGTTTAAAGTTTTGCAAAAGATTTTTTTAAATATCTCCAAAAATATTTTTGCTATGGCCTATTATCATATATTCGCAGAATCTGTGAACTCCCACTGATCACGAAAAACGCTTAAAATCGCTCTATCTCTTATAGTTTAGTCAGAAACCGCGTTTAAAGTTTTGCAAAAGATTTTTTTAAATATCTCCAAAAATATTTTTGCTACAACCTATTATCATATATTGGCAGAATCTGTGAACTCCCGGTGATCACAAAAAACACTTAAAATCGCTCTATCTCTTCTAGTTTAGCCAGAAAACGCGTTTAAAGTTTTGCAAAAGATTTTTTTAAATATCTCCAAAAATATTTTTGCTACAACCTATTATCATATATTGGCAGAATCTGTGAACTCCCAGTGATCACAAAAAACGCTTAAAATCGCTCTATCTCTTCTAGTTTAGCCAGAAAACGCGTTTAAAGTTTTGCAAAAGATTTTTTTAAATATCTCCAAAAATATTTTTGCTACAACCTATTATCATATATTGGCAGAATCTGTGAACTCCCAGTGATCACAAAAAACGCTTAAAATCGCTCTATCTCTTCTAGTTTAGTCAGAAACCGCGTTT